CCATCGTTGTCTCAGAGAAAATCAAAACAGCAGCAGCAGGATGACATGGCATCTAAATTTAGAGGCATTGTTCCTGGTCATATCTTTGTTTCTGATGGAATTGTGCAATCCCTCGTGGTAGTTTTATTTTTAATTGAGGCTGCTGTTGGGAAAGGCACTGGCTTGGCACTGGTCTGACTACTCAGGCCCCAGCCTTGGTGTCACTGAATGTGCCCCAGTGTGTAACACAGGCTGTGTGGGCAGGGATGGTGTCAGACTTCGTCAGCATCCAAGGGAAGAGAAACCACACCACGCTAAACCCCTCAGTGGTGATGATTAGATCTAAGGAAAAGATAAGAATAGTTACTTTGCAGAATGTAAAGAATTCCACTTGTCTGCAGAGGACGGAAGTCCCCAGGAGCACCAGGAAAGCACAACCTCACTGACTAAGCAGCCACAGCACCTCAGCATGCCCACAGCACCAGCTTTTGCCGTTTCATTAGCAAACCACACTGCCACGCCCAGGAAAGCTGCACATGGTGCCCCGTTCCTCAGCCTGTGCTTCCCCTGGCACAGGAAGCAACGTGCTTACAGATGTTCCTTCCCCACACCCCAGGCACACAAACCCACAGAGAGAAAGACAACACTTTTCCACCTTCTCCCATCTCTCCCCAGCCAACAGCTGATTTGAGAGACCCTGAGGCAGGAGTAAGAGGAGCAGGGAAGATGAATGCCGAAACCCAGGGGGTACGACAGGCCATGAGTTGATAATGATAGAAATAATGAAGTCCAGCATAATTGTATGTTTTACCACCTTTGAGTCTAAAAGAAATGTGCAATTGAGAAGAACTTGCTGTTTCAACCCTCTCCCAGATGAGCCTGGGGGTGCAGGAACTTGTCATACCAAAAAATGGGGGAAAACAAGCCTCTTCTGATATGTGGAAAGCATGAAGTAGAACTGGGGGGGCTGTAGGTTTCCATGGTGCTCTGCTCAGATTTTCCCCTGAGCCATTAGGCAGGTTTGCTCCTCAGCCTGAGAAGTCCAGTTGTTTCGATGCACAGCTAAGAAGCAGCAACACTGAAAATCACATGAACGGCATGCAGCAAATGTGCAGTGATGGTAGTGACATAATCTGCAATTAGTAAAAGGAGATTACATCAAAGGAAAGTGGATTTGGAAAAGTGAAATATGCTCAAATACAGCAGCTGCCAGATTTCTAACAATAGAGATTCATTTTAGACCTAATTTTGAATTGTCATATAAACTCAAAAGTTATTAATTAACTGCCAGAGCAGATCAAAAAAAAGAGAAAATATTTATGCAAGGCATCTGCATGGCTGAGAGGAATCAAGGGCTCCTCGTGCAAGGTGAGACAGTCCTTAGCTGAAGGGGTGAAACAAGACAATCACTCTCAAAAAGATTTTCTCCAGTGGTAAAGAAACGTGGGGTATTATCAGTCTCCCTGTGCAGAGGCAGACAAGTGCATTTCCTGGTCATAAATACCTTATTTGTACAGCTACTCAGACACAACTTAAAATTTTCACCCATCACCCAAGTAAGCCCACCTCAGTAAGAGAAGCTCCTTTGAGGTCTGGTTGCTTGAGAGCTGGTGCTCATCCTCTCTGGATTTGAGCAGATCTTACACAGGTTCATCTCTCCTCCCTTAAAAATCACTTTTCTGGCACAAAAACCCCCACCCTATTCCCTGCAGTGAGACAGGAAACAAATGGAACATGGCCTGTTTTAGGGATGAAATCTCTTTATTAAGTCCTTGTGGGGAACCAGGACCCTGCCTTGGTCCTGCTCTCAGCCACCTTGTGTGAACTTTCCCTGCTCACTCACTCAGACCTTTCTTGTGTGCTGCTCTTCCTCCACAATTCCCAGAACAAGAGATTACCTTCCAAAAATAAAGGAGAATAAATGAATACACAGAATGTGTGCTGGATCAAACCAATGTTAGAATAATGCCAGCATGGCATGTTGGTAGAATGGTTATTTTTGTACCAAAAAATACTCTCTTTGACTTGGTCACTTCCAAGATAATTGACTGTTACAGCCAGCCAAAGGGATGGGGTTTGATGGGCTGAGTGCTGGGATACAGCCACTCCATATTCCCAAGGAGGCAACTCCAGGCTGGGTTTCAAGAGCAGCACAGCTGCATTTAGCTGGAGGAAGGAAGATTTCTCAGGGAGAAATGGCTGTCTATGGGGGTTATCTCAGGTTGAAAGCAGGAGCAAGAATCTCTTGTGACATGTCCAAAATGTTCTTAATTTCTTGTCTCTTCTAGTAAAGCAAGTCAGGATGTGTCTGAAGAATGGATGACTCCAGGGCAATCCCCAGAACCTGCCAGGGCAGGAATGTGCCTGGTCAGACTAGACAGGGAGCACTAACAGCCTTGGGGTTTTCCAGCCCCCCAGAACTGGAGTGGGGAGCCTCTGAGCTGCCCACAAGAGTTTCCAATCACTGACAATTACCAAAGAGTGGAAAAAAACCCATCACCAGCAGAAAAAGTGGAGCAGATTACACAGTGCTACACTTTGTGCAATCTGTTGACTTCCCTTCTGTTGGCATCCTGAATCGAATGAGTCGCAAACCAGGAGCACCTATTTCAAAGCAGCTCTACAGTGATAAAACCTCCTGTGACTTTTCCCCCCCAAGCAAAAGATACAACTGCTGACGTTGTAGGAGCACTTCCAGCACACAAGACCTCATATTCACATGTAAGAGGGCGTGATACAAAACCCTCCTGCTACAAAAGGCGGCAGCAGGAGGCACCGACAGGAGGTACTGGTGAGGGAGCAGCACCGAGGAGAGCAGGTAAGAGGGGGCAAAGAGGGATGGGGAGGGTTGCTAGGAGTACAAGGGAGCTGTTAGCTGTTTTGCTGCCTTAAATCTGCAACACTTCTAATGCCCCAAGGGCTTGCTTACCCCTGTGGTGCAGCAGCTCCAGGCTCCAGGCAACTCCTGCTCGGTGCAAAGTGTGAGGGGTGGGTATGAGTCTGGTTGGGACCTGCTGGCAGTGGAGAGTCCAGGGGACACAGCTGGGAAGTTGCTTGAGTCCTTCCTTTTCAGTTAAACTTTATGGCCCAAGTATGGTGGGCAGCAGAGGGGACAATGGTAACACCAGGCTGCTCACTGGAGGGTCTGCGCCTGTATTTTCATGTAACAAATACATGATACGGAGCAGAAGTGTCAGGAAACTAGAGACAGACAGACCCGGGGAGGAAGTAGAGCAGGTGAGCAGGGACACTACCAGGCAATGGGAAGTTTCCAGAGAAGAACAATGCACAGGCACTGACCTCTCCTGGTGTGGGCTGCCACATACAAGCATCTGCAACTATACTTAAAAAGTAAGCTGACTGTTTTCCTTACTTCTTCCTAAATAAATGGCCACTGGTAAATTCTTGGCAGAGAGCAAACCACTGAGGGGATGGGATCACAAGAAGATACATGGCTGCACAATTACATGGAGCTCCCCATTGCTTTTACTCTTGAACACTTCCTGAAGTGGCTGAGCAGGTTTCGGAGGGGTCAGACTTACCTGGTTGTTGTGTGCCAGGAAACTTGAGCCACAAGCTGGGATTACAAGAGTCCATTTCAGATGATGTAATGGGAAGATGCTGTTGCAAAGGCTGCTCACTACTTGGCTGGGTGTGAAGGACCAGGTATTTCCTCACACTAACATAAAATGCCCTTTAGGTCAGCAGTCATAACTGGCTTAAAGATGGCTGCTCCACGTGGCGCTCTGAACCCTCTCCTGGCTGCCTTCTCTGCCAGAAAACAACAACTCGGATGACCTGAGTGGGTAGCTGCTGCTAGAGAGGAGCCGTGGTGGGAAAAACAGCTGCAAGGGTGGGGCAAAGTTCCTGTCTGATTGGCTGAGAAGCCTAGAAATACGAAACTGGCCAATTGGGAGCAAAGGAGACCTATAAAGAGACAGCGTGCGCGCTGCTTTTGGGCGCGCTTTTCCAGAGACGCTGAAGCTGCTGCTCCTTGCTTTTCGGCGCGCTCCTGCCTTGGGGGTGCCTGCCAGCCTGATGTCCCCGGCTCATTGCTGCAGCCCGACTCCCGGCTTTTGCAGTCCCGGCTCGCTTAGTTCTGGTTCGCTCCATCTAGACCCGTCTTGCCACAGCTCTTCCTGCCAGCCTGCCTGCATTGCCTGCAGCTACCCACCTCAGGAACCCATCTGCTGCTGAGCACCTGTGGTGAGACTAATTCCTGCCACCCGTGGTTCTAAGACCGGGTTGCAGGGGAAGTCACCCACAGCTACTATATAAGTACCTAGAGCATCTCGGGAATAAAGTAAGGAATTGTATTTTGGGCATAATTCTCTCCCTAAGGTGTTCCTGTCTCACCTGCACACACCCCACAACCCTATACGGGACAAGCGTCGGGCATATCCCTCGTTCCTCCTCCCCTCATAGACAATTAATCTGGGTGTGTAAATAAGGTGTACCTATATATAAGTATTAAGGCATATATAAGTTTCTTGGTATTTGGTGTTTAAAAGATATTTCATAACTCCTATGTATTTTAATCACCCTTTTTGAACCTCCTGCCCCAAATTGTTTTATTTTTCCCCACAATAAACCGTTTATTTGTAAATTCTAATTGAGGATTGGCTGCTTGTTATTGGAAACACTAGTAAGCACTGAGCAAGTGTCTCACCCGAAAAGTCAGTGCCCAAGCTCACTGCTCCTCTGTGAGAGGTAAGCACCGCGTGCGGACCTCTTGGCAGATCCTGACAAGCTAAATGCACTCCAAAAAGGAGATATAATAGGTCACAGAGCGCAACATGAGCACTCTCCTTCTCATCATTCTCAGACACCATCTTTTAGCATTGGCTCTTGAAAATAATAAGAAACCAAGATGTATTTTTTAGTGTAGATAAGAAGAGATTAATAAATACAACTAATGAAACAGTTTCTGCACTTGCAACTAAACTGGGATCTTTTTTTAAAGGGTACTCATTAACACGGAGCATGTAGTAACCATGGATTTTACATTTCTTTTCTCCAGGATGAGGATCCTTATTGGAAGCCTTCATTTCTACTTAATTTCTTTCTTATTCAGTAGAGCAAGGGGCTTCGTAACTTTGAGAACACCTACAGCCTATGCCCTCCCATTTTATAACTACTCCTATTTAAACCTCTCTTCAGTATCAGAAGCACAGGCTCCGAACACAGCAAAAGCTCTCAACTTCTCACATAACCTAATTGAAAAAATAACCAGGAGAGACTTTGAAGGTTTTGATGTGCTGCAAGTGTTAGACCTTTCCTACAATCAGATTAAGGACATTGAAGCTGGAGTGTTTGAGAGCCTGCTCAGCCTTGTTTCTGTGAATTTATCATTCAACGATAAGAATCTTCTTGTATCGGGTCTCCCACCTCACCTGAAGTTCTTGCCCACTAGCAAAGTCTCAGGGTCTTTGATTTACAAGTTTTTTGACAAAAACTCAGAGGTTGCTCTGGAGCCTTCTGCATACACTGAGGAGCTGCCACACTCAGGAGGTCCATCTGTCCTGCAAAAAGTTCATCGGAGGCTCAGGCGAGGAACAGAGAATCTTCTTCGAAGAGGAGAGGAAAATGTCACAGTCTCTCCTCCAACAGCCACGCCAAGGCCTGATTTCTGCGGAGCACCAATAAATGGGATACTTGATCTGTCCCACAGCCAACTCTCTGAGGATGAACTGATGCTAAAACTGGATGAGGATCTCTGCCAAGCTCAGCTGGAGAGTATTCTGGAGCTTGACATTAGTCACAGTGACCTGAAAATGGATCTTCTGTCGCTGTTTGTGCTGTTTTTGCCCATGAAAAATGTGTGGTCTATTGATGCCAGTTACAACAAATTAACAATTAACATTCTAGACGTTGAGAGCATCTGCAAGTTCCCATTCAACAAGCTGCTGTTTTTAAATATTAGCAACAATCCCATAAACAGCCTGGATACGCTGTGTCTTCCTTCAAGCATCAAGGTAATCGATTTGTCCTTCACCAACATAAGTCAAATACCCCGAAATTTTGCTAACAAAATGATTAACTTGCAACACATGTATGTTCAAGGAAATCACTTCATATATACTGTACATCCAGAAGCCACTAATGCTGTTCCAACCCTTCCCCCTGGAACTATACATATTAACGCCATTTCATTTGTCAGAAACGAAGCTGGTACACCCATTGAGAGCCTTCCCAGGAAAGTGAAACACCTGAAATTGTCCAACTGCTCCATTGTAGAACTGCCAGAGTGGTTTGCTGACACAATGAAAGAATTATTATTTTTGGATCTCAGTAGCAACCGGATTTCTGTGCTTCCTGTCTTACCTGCCTCTCTGCAGCACCTCGACATAAGCAACAGCGACATTAAAATAATACCCCCCAGTCTTAAATCTGTCTCCAACTTAACAATATTTAATATTCAAAATAATAAAATTACAGATTTGCATCCTGAGAATTTCCCATTGGCTTTAACAAAATGCGATATTAGTAAAAACAAGTTGAACATGTTGTCGTTAACTGAGGCCTTGGAGAAACTCCAGCATCTCAATGTTTCTGGAAACCTGATCACCAGACTGGAACCCACCAGCCACCTTCCTGCGCTTGCTAACCTGGACAGCAGTCGCAACCAGATCTCAGAACTCCCCGATTACTTTGGCAAATCTCTTCCAATGCTGAAATACTTTAATTTATCAGGGAATAAGATCTCCTTTCTGCAACGTGGCTCTCTTCCAGCTTCTCTGATCGAGTTAGACATCAGTGACAATGCCATCACTACCATAGTGGAGGACACTTTTGGCCAGTTAACTAGTTTGAGTGTGCTGAGTGTCCACGGTAAACATTTTTTTTGTAACTGTGACTTGTACTGGTTTGTGAATGTCTACATCCACAACCCCCAGCTGCAGATAAACGGCAGAGGACATCTCAGGTGCAGCTTCCCACCGGACAGAAGGGGCTCACTGGTGGAGAGCAGCGACCTCTCGCTCCTGCGCTGCTCCCTGGGTGTCCAGATGGCCATCACGACTTGTGTCACCTTCCTGGTGGTGCTGGTGCTCACGGGCTTGTGCTGGCGCTTCGACGGGCTCTGGTACGTGCGGATGGGCTGGTACTGGTGCATGGCCAAGAGAAGGCAGTATGAGAAAAGGCCAGAAAACAAGCCCTTCGATGCCTTCGTTTCATACAGTGAACAAGATGCAAACTGGACGAAAAATAATCTACTGGCAAAACTGGAAACCAATGGGTTCAAGATATGTTACCACGAGAGGGATTTCAAGCCAGGGCATCCCATACTTGGCAACATTTTTTACTGCATAGAGAACAGCCATAAAGTCCTTTTTGTTCTCTCTCCCAGTTTTGTAAACAGCTGCTGGTGTCAGTATGAACTATACTTTGCTGAACACCGGGTCCTGAATGAAAACCAGGATTCCCTCATCATGATTGTGCTGGAAGACCTCCCACCCAATAGCGTGCCGCAGAAGTTCAGCAAACTCAGGAAACTGCTGAAAAGAAAAACCTACTTAAAGTGGAGCCCTGAGGAACACAAACAGAAAATGTTCTGGCACCAGCTGGCAGCCGTCCTAAGAACAACCAACGAAACACTTGTGAACACAGAAAATGGATGTGCTCAGGGTACGTATGAGATGGAATGAGATACAAGGACGTGTAAAGATTGCGCTCAGAAAGTCTGGGTCAAATAAAAGCATTGCTGTGTTTACCTGCTGCAGTGAGGCTGTCTCAGATCAGTCCCAGGAGTGGTTACCAAGTGGGTTTGTAGCACAAGTGTTAACACGGTCCGATAAAATAATCCATCATCCCAAGGGCTGAGGCCCGAGTGTGGATGAACAGCCTTTTCTTCCTGGGTGCTTGATTTGCTTCAGCTATTTCCATTGTTTCTTAAAATGCTGTGGATGTCACCTGGAAGGAAGAACAGCTGGAGTCAGACTGCATGTCCTAGCTATCTTTTTGAGGTTACTGCAGTGCAAAGTGATGCCACTCAAAGGCAAGGCTGTGGTTCAGGATGGGAGCACACACCTTACACGCGTAAGAAAAACACACAGCATGACAGCACACAGGTAACAGCTTCTTTCTGTGGTTTACTGAGAAAAGATTAGTGGCTACCTAACGTAGCCGTGTGAGAGATGCAATTGCAAATCCATGCTGCTACATCATTTGGTTTCAGTAACTGGTGGAAGAGATCAGACTCTAAAAACTTTTATAATTACAGATTAACATATATAACCAGACAATTAAGAAAAGGCCAGCTGAGCATGTCAGTCTCCACTTCTAAATAATTGGTATGAGCTTTAGTCAAATGCTGTTACATAAACCTCTGAAGAATGAGTAAAGTTTTATATATTATTATTTAGGTTTAGGAAAGTTTCCCTTGACACAATCACCTGACCCATTTAAAATTAACTCGGTATTACCTCTGCATAGCCTGTGTCATTACTTAGCTCGACTTAATAATTTTGTGTTTGAAAAAAAGCTCAGCTGATCTGATTTTCACCTTCAAGGAAAATCAACAGACTGTGATGGAAGGTAAGCACCAGGTGAGAACAGGTCATTTAGTGTGGCACCATCTGGACTCGCTCGTATGATAAGCAAACCCCACATACCTACCTGCAGAGGAGCACAGAATGTCCATGTAAAACACAATGGACAGGACATTTGAAACACATACTCTGAAAAGGAGCAAGTTCTGCTGTGACAAAGTAAGACCAGTGCCATCCTATTTGATGCCCAAAGTGGAAAGATTAAATAAAAAATTTTTAAAAAATGAAAATCAGCAAATACAGCATCTCTTCTGCAATGTATTCTAAAAAGGGAAACATCCAGCTGGAGCAGTACCTGCTTACCACCCTCTCCATGCTGCTTCCTAGTAGAAAGAAAAAAACCCACTTTGCAGCAAGGTTCAGGGACAGCTTTTGTAATGAATGAAAACATTTTTCTAATACTAAATATAAACCCATTTTAAATAGGAATTGACAACAACCTGTTGTCAGCATTTATCAGTGCATAATAAATGACATTCTAAAGTCAATTTGTCAATACTGATTCAACTCCTGGGTACTGTACTTGGTATATCTATGAAGCAGTGTTTGCACACCTCGTGTTGCTCTCTGCAGCCCTGCTTCACTTCCTCATGGGAGAAAATGGTGCAGGGAAGCCCAGCCCTCGGAGTTCAGAAATCCCTTTACAAAGTGCTTTGAAGGGACTTCAGTTCTTTTGTCTTAATATCACATAAAGGCAACAAAACCTGCTTCTGCCCTCACACTGTCCCATTCTTGCTTTACTCCCACGTAAATACTCAATGCAAATTCCTTTTATAAGTAAGGTGTGAGGGATTTAAACTTCTGTCATGTACAGTTTGAGACAAAAGGACAGGACACCACATATTTCTACCCTCCAAATTAGTATGCTTTGTATTAAAGAGAAATGCAAAGACAGAAAAAACAAACAAGGTAGATCTGTTAGTTATCTTTTATAAATACTTTAGAAAGAACCATGTTATTTGTTTATAGAGAAAAATACCTGGGCAGAGAGAAAAGACTCATGGAAGTTTCAATATTACATTTGTATTAGAAAGTTGTTCAACATCCATTTTATTGCAAGAATGCAGACTTGAATTATTCAAAATTAATTAAAATTCAGTGTTAAATAAAGAACAGTGTTCATGATGTAATAAAGTCTTCCAGGAAAATCTTGGAAATAGTTTAGTTAACAAACAGCCTAGACAAACAACAACTCACACGTAGTAATGATGTGAATGGTTTTTGTTCCTAAAATAACAACTCACCTTTCCATCACTGTAATTTTGCTAAAAATGTGGCATTTTCCTATAACGAGGCACCAAAAGTCTGTGGCACAATTATTTCAGAGATACTAAGGCTCTGCTGAAGTCCATAGAAGTTGAAAGGTAATTGCTTTTTGTAATTTTGAGAAGATCTGGCCACTTAATGTGCTAATTGTCAGGAATTTTAAATGCCTCCAAATTACTCCATTTCATAAGGAATTCCCACAACACGTAACAGAAGACAAATGGTCAGATTTATAAAAAAAGACTTCTGTTATCTGCTCACCAACAGATGAACTTCATAAGTAGACAGATTATTAATCTAAATCAAATTGACATCAGACTTCTTAAGAAAACCTCAAAAACTTGTAGTCATCTTGTTATGTGGTTATTCTCTTTTTTAAAAAGGTAATAGCTGTCAGTTCTGCTGGTCAGGAACACCACAGCCACATCTCCCCAGTTTCCCCTTTTATACAAGTTGTAAACAAAACCACAAATAACTTTACTCTTTGCGTAACAGTTTATCAATTAGAAAACTGCAGAAGTGACTGCATTACTAATACTGTATCAGTACTATTCTATTGCAATATTCATCTTGGTCCTCAAGTAAGTCTATAGTTGGGTATTGCAAAGTTACTTCTATCTGATGTAAAGTACTCCAAATATATATTATTTTGGGATACATAACATCACTGATCCTTAAAATAAAGGTACAGCAGAAATTAATACATACACACTCCAGAGGTTTATTACAGTGCCACAACACTTCTCAAAAGTCCCTCCCTAGTGGTCATACAACATTGCTTGTAAAATGCCTTGTCCTGCTTGAGGAATCCAAGACTGAAATCCTGAACTTCAGCTGAAGTTCATGGACGTTTTGCCATGTACCTCAACGGAACCAGGATCTCACCCTGTGAACAGAAAGGACCTTCATAGTTACTGACTCTTGCTACAACAAAATACCACCAGCTCTTCCAGCCTTCTGCAATGAGAAAAGTTTAAACTTTAAGTGTCATAACACCAAGCAGCCTCCTAATTCTTCCTTCTTGAAAATATGGCAAGGTGAGAGGTAATACTTCTGGCGCAGCCTCAAGTCATTCTGAGATAGTCTGCCTTGTGATGGGAAGTTATAAAGCTTAGTTTTTTTATACTTGGCCAGTGGTAAATTTTAGTAACAAAACACCCTCATGTAACCATTCCAAATACAAATCTAAAATACCACCCTTTTTGACTTGCCTCGAAAATTCAAGAAAGCATCGTGGAAGTAATATCCTAGCATGGGCTTCAAAAGCAAACAGCTGGATATTAACAGCAGTGGCACTTTCCTTAACTGGCAGTAGTACAGCAACCCTGCATCGCCGAGTTCAGAGTAACCATTAAGAACAGGACAGATGGGGACCCACTGGATCAGCTGGATCAGCGCCCTGCCCTCAGGTTACACCGAGGGCACTGGGATCTGCTTTGCTGAAGCACTGTCGTGGTCCCGCAGCACGTCGCTGGCGGTGTGACAGTGCATGCCAAGGTAGCATTTGGCAAACCCGAAGGCGGCGTTGCCGGGCTGCAAGCTGTTGGGGGTGCTCACTTCCTGGGAAGGGCTGCTGTTATAGATACTGTAGTAGGGCTCGATTCGGGTGTTCATGGGCGTTGAGCTGCTCTGTGCGTAGTGCTGGTGCCCGACAGAAGCCTTGGGACTCAGCGCGCTTTCCTTGGAGTGACTAGGACCGCAGGCTTGGTCCACAAACTTTTTCTGAGGTTTTGGAGACAACATGTATGCTGAGTTGGTCTCGTGGTGGGACGACTTGTTCCTGTTGACTTCCAGGCTGCCTTTGCCCATGGCCCGAAGCCTTGTCTTCTGCTTGCAGCAGAAAAAGACAAGGGCTACATACTGCAGGCACCAGAGGACCCGCCTCCGAAGCCCGGCACTATTACGGGAGTATATAAAAGGATTTAATCCGGATTTGAAAAAAATCAGGGTAAAGCCACACAGCTCGAACTGGTAGAGAACAAAGCCGCTGCTGCTGGACAGCATGTCCTGCACCAGAGAGATGCCCAGCGGCAAGCAGCAAACCAAGACGGAGAGCACGATGACGACGCACGTCAGCACCGCCCTGGAGTCCCTGGCTGCGGACAGGTTGACGGCGGAGCCCAGGTGGGGCCGGCCGGGCGCGGCGGCCGGCGGCTGGGCAAGGTGCGCGGGGCAGCCCCGCGTCCGGCCCTGCTGACACTTGCTGCAGCCCTGGCTCCTGTACAAGGCGGGCCCCCTGGGGGCTGGCGGCCCCCCGAAGGTCTCGGCTCTGGAGGC